CGTTACCTTGCATGTCATGACCCCCCAAGCCTTTTCTCAAAATGTACATTTGTATAGATGCTTCTATGTAACATCACTGTGGAATTTGGACATTTGTTGATGTCAATGTGCTGCATGTCTGAATAAAAATACAATTCATTTAAACAGACTAGTCATTGTCTTTATCCATGGATCAGCCACAACATTAAAGCCGCCTGCCTAATATTATGAAGGTTCCTTTCATGTAGCCAGAACAGATTTGAACAGTTGGAGTACAGACACAGGACCTCTGGGAGTCCAGTGTTAAAATCCTAACACATTTAGAGACGGATGTTAATATATACATGTAAGGAGAAACACCAAAAACATTTTTCTCTCTAATCTCAGCCGTGCACGCACAGCACAAGATTTGAAAATATAAGGCACATCACACATTTAAACATGTTAAAAATTATTGTGCCAAAGTGACCAATCAGTGCATCACCTCGCATGATCTCATGGGGAATTAAATGTAAATGAAATGAAAACTCCTTTTGTGTTCCAACATAAAAACTGAAACTGATGCTGATACATACATGTATGTAGAGACTTTAAAAACATTTAATCGAATCTCTTTTGTGAATGCACAGTAGAAGATGTCAAAATAATGCCACATCACAAATTGAGGGATGTTATTAAAAACTGTCATACCAGAGTGAGCAATCAGTGCACCACGTCACATGAGTAAATGTAAATGAAATGAAAACTCCTGTTGTGTTCCAACATAAGTGAAGCTCCTGATCTGTGTCTGCAGGATTGTATGCATTACACTGCTCCCTGCTCCTGATAACATGCTCAGTGATGTACTGTGAATGACAGGTCACCTGACAACGGAGTGACAATGCTGACCAATGGAGTCACTTCATTTGGAGGATTTCTTCATACATGTGTTGAACACCTCAAGATCAACAAACATCTTGTTTCTAGTTCCTCATTACTGGTCATACTGCACGGACCAACGTCTTGCACAGCTCTCACCTGTAGAACACACCTGTAGCAAGGTGACACTTTCACAGCCTCATATCAAAGCATCCACTCTGCCAGAGGTTACGACTTAAGATCTCACAGAGCACACCAGAACCACAGCAGGTGAAGGTCAATATGTGTTCACAGTGATATGCATGTAAACCTACTAAGCCTTACAAACAATTAATCCAAAAATACTATTTGCCCTAATGATAGGACTACAACAAACAACGAAAAACATAATTTCGTCTTGAATAATCTCATAAACTATTTGTTAAATAGCCTGTGACAGGCTGTTGTCAGTTACGAAATCAGTCAACAGCCTAAACTACTATATCAGAACAATCTGCATCATCACANTTGTATAGATGCTTCTATGTAACATCACTGTGGAATTTGGACATTTGTTGATGTCAATGTGCTGCATGTCTGAATAAAAATACAATTCATTTAAAAAGACTGGTGATTGCATTTATACACTGATGAGCCACAACATTAAAGACACCTTAATAACATTATGAAGGTTCCTCTCATGTCACCAGAACAGATTTGAACTGTTGGAGTACAGACACAGGACCTCTGGGAGTCCAGTGTTGAAATCCTAACACATTTAGAGACGGATGTTAATATATACATGTAAGGACAAACACCAAAAACATTTTTCTCTCTAATCTCAGCCGTGCACGCACAGCACAAGATATGAAAATAACAGCACATCACACATTTAAATATGTTGAAAATTATTGTGCCAAAGTGACCAATCAGTGCGCCACCTCACATGATCTCATGGGGAATTAAATGTAAATGAAATGAAAACTCCTGTTGTGTTCCAACATAAAAGCTGAAACTGATGCTGATACATACATGTACGGAGAGACTTCAAAAATACTTTTTTGTCTAATCTCTTTCGTGCATGCACAGTACAAGATTTCTAAATAATGCCACATCACACATTGAGGGCTATAATTAAAAACTGTCATACCAGAGTGAGCAATCAGTGCACTACCTCACATGAGTAAATGTAAATGAAATGAAAACTCCTGTTGTGTTCCAACATAAGTGAAGCTCCTGATCTGTGTCTGCAGGATTGTATGCATTACACTGCTCCCTGCTCCTGATAACATGCTCAGTGGTGTACTGTGAATGACAGGTCACCTGACAACAGAGTGACAATGGTGACCAATGGAGTCACTTCATTTGGAGGATTTCTTCATACATGTGCTGAACACCTCAAGATCAGGAAACATCTTGTTTCTAGTTCCTCATCACTGGTCATACTTAACAGACCAACATCTTGCACAGCTCTCACCTGTAGAACACACCTGTAGCAAGGTGACACTTTCACAGCCTCATATCAAAGCATCCACTCTGCCAGACGTTGCTACTTTAAGATCTGACAGAGCACACCAGAACAACAGCAGGTGAAGGTCAATATGTGTTCACAGTGATATGCATGTAAACCTACTAAGCCTTACAAACAATTAATCCAAAATTACTATTTGCCCTAATGATAGGACTATAACAAACAACTAAAAACATAATTTCATCTTGAATAATCTCATAAACTATTTGTTAAATAGCCTGTGACAGGCTGCTGTCAGTGACGAAATCAGTCAACAGCCTAAACGACTATATCAGAACAATCTGTATCATCACAAACATGTCTATTAAATGTAGACAAAAGAATTAAACCTCTATGCAATAATGTGTGTCAACTAGTTTAATGAAAACATTCACGTTTTTTAAAGATTTATTTGACATCTCAACGAACAGTTAATGGAAACAACATCAAAGATTACACTTCCTTACATTGTATACACTTACACAGACTGCTGCAGTTTGTTTGCAGTCGTCTGAGCTGTTGCTGAAACATTACCTCCATTATTCACAGTATTACCAAACAAGATGAAAACACTGAACTGTTCTCCTTGTAAAATAAGAGCAGACATTTTGTTACCAGCATTGACAGTGTCAGACTGAGCAGGCGGATAAATATAAGTCCAGCCCACCTCTTAACGTTCAGGTCACTCCTACTGAAGCACAGTTCAGCTACAAACACTGATGTGGTGGAGTCGTACTGTACACACCATGGGGAACTTTACCTTCATAGCTGCTTTACTCTGCACCTTCAGTAAGTATATATATCATTTTGTTTCTCACTACAGCTGCTGGCTTTCTTTCTATGCATTAATTAAACATAATTGATTAATGTTTGAATGAGAACTTCATGAATCCATTGTTTCCTTCAGGTTGGATCTCTGTCTCAGTTTCTGAGTTTCTCATTGTGGAGGTTCAGCCTGCTCAAGAAGTCACACTGATGTGCAACAACTATACTGGTTCGGCCACTAACATATTCTGGTTCAGAATGACCGGTGGACCCAATATCAGCAGTATCTCGTCTATGTTCAACTCTGATAGCAAAGCTTCACTCTGGAATGGATTTAAAAATGGAAACTTCATAATGACATCCAACACCACAAACCTCTTTCTGACGATCAAAAGTGTGGATGTATCTGACTCTGGACTCTACTTCTGTGGATGTTGTCCATATGGAGTCTCAGCATTGGTCAGTCCAACATATTTAAAGGTTCAAGGTAAGATTCTTGTCAAGTGCTTTGTGTCTTTTTGATTGTGTGTCCCACACTACGAGGGATTTCAAAATGGATCATCATAAATGAGCTCCAAAACTGTGACTGTCTATCTCAAAATCAGACCAGTAGATTTATCAGATTCTGGACTGTATTATTGTGGACTGTATTATTGTGGATTTTACACAAATTCACACCCAAATGTCAGGCTAGTATACTTGTATCTTCAAGTTAAGATTTAATGTTAATTATATCTTTCCATTCTGTGATTTAACTGTTAATTTTATCTCACAATGAAAAAATATGTTGAGAATTTTAGTGACAGCTGCACATTATTTCCTTTCATTTCAGGCGACAGTGAATCTGACGATGACAACGACTGCACGTCTCAAAGTAAAATTTCTTTGACTTCCTCATATGTTAGCAAGATCACAAGCCACGGAAGAGAACATTTACTCAAATTTTTCATTTGTTGCAGAGACGTCTGACAAAAATACAAACCTGATGGTTGTGATTCTGGGTGGTCTGACTGTTTTCCTTGTGATGGTCATCATTGGTCTGCTTGTAAAAATCAAGACACTTCACAGAGGTACTGTTTAAAATCTACTGTATCTGTCATGTTTGAGTACATTTTTTGTTATGATAGCACTTTCTAACAAAGTAGCCTCTACTTGCTTTATTATATTTACAAAGTAATCAATGGTCCAGAAATAAGTCAATGATGAACTTAAGTTTTCAGTTTAATTGTAGAGAAAGTATAACTGGCCATTTAGTTCATCACGGAGAACCTAACAGATCTGTCTTTATAACTCGCAGAGCAGCTGGAGTAAAATTCATGAACATTTTAACATTTACACAAACAGAGTTGATGGATTTTTGCAAAACCTCAAGTATTAATACCATTTATAGCTGCAGATGACTGACTGACCTATGACCCTCTATTCATATAAAGGATCTCTTTTCGGTGAAAAATTTGTTCTGATTAGACACTTTTAAATATTTTCATTTTTTAAAGACTAAATTTGACACAAACGTACCAAACTGTAACACCAAAACCAAAGTTAATACCAAACCATGAGTGTAATAGACCGTTACACCCCGACTGACAATCAACCAGGCAGATATGGAAACTGGAAAACTGATGCCTGGTCATTAATGGAAACCTATAGACTCTGAACGGGCACCGAATTAGAACATTCTATCAAAAGACTTTCAGTTATTGTCAATTCTCTGACCACATGTATTATCTCTTTCACAAAGCTGAAGAAGACGAAGATCCTCAACCAAGCGAGGTGAATACAGTTTCACTACTAACTTCTGTAAACGTGATTCAGTATCATGTCAAACTGTTCTTTTTCTTCTTTTTTTTTGTTTAACATGCATTTCACATACGTTTTTTCTGTCAAACTATGTCTAATGACTGACTGTATAGTCCTTTAAATATTTACTTATTTTTCATTTAATGCTGTCATTTACAGAATCTGGGCTCTGATGACTTGAACTATGCAACAGTGACTTTTGCTCAAAATGGAAGAAGAAGAAGAGAGCTGGAGCCAAATGTTGTGTATGCTGCCACCAGATAGACTGAACTGCAGCTCACAGTCACACTGATGCTTCCTTCATCTGCTGCTTGTATCAGACTTGTGGTTNCATTTCAGGCGACAGTAAATTTGATGACAACGACTGCACGTCTCAAAGTAAAAATTTTTTGACTTCCTCATATGCTAGCAAGATCACAAGCCACGGAAGAGAACATTCACTCAAATTGTTCATTTGTTGCAGAGACGTCTGATAAAAATACAACCCTGATGGGTGTGATTCTGGGTGGTCTGACTGTTTTCCTTGTGATGGTCATCATTGGTCTGCTTGTAAAAATCAAGAAACTTCACAGAGGTACTGTTTAAAATCTACTGTATCTGTCATGTTTGAGTACATTTTTTAATATGGTAGCACTTTCTAACAAAGTAGCCTCTACTTGCTTTTTTATATTTACAAAGTAATCAATGGTCCAGAAATAAGTCAATGATGAACTTAAGTTTTGAGTTTGATTGTAGAGAAAGTATAACTGGACATTTAGTTCGTCAGGAACAACCTAACAGATCTGTCTTTATAACTCACAGAGCAGCTGAAACAAAATTCATGAACATTTTAACATTTAAACAAGTAGAGTTGATGGATTTTTGCAAAACCTCAAGTATTAATACCATTTATAGCTGCAGATGACTGACTGACCTATGATCCTCTATTCATATAAAGGATCTCTTTTCGGTGAAAAATTTGTTCTGATTAGACACTTTTAAATATTTTCATTTTTGAAAGACTAAATTTGACACAAATGTACCAAACTGTAACACCAAAACCAAAGCTAACACCAAACCATGAGTGTAGTAGACCGTTACACCCCGACTGACAATCAACCAGGCAGATATG